TCTGGGTCACCCCAGGTGAGGGTTATTGGGGGACTCCCTAACAGAACCACCGTATTAAAGCCACAAGGAGAATCACAGAATCTGTAGTCTGGCCTTGGACCGCATGCTTTGAGACAGGGCCTCCCTGACTGCTGATGCCTGTGCAGCGGACGGCACGCCCAGGCGCATGACTAGAACACTAGGGTGGGCTCTGTCAGCCAAGGGAACTTGGCAAGGCTTTCCAAGCAATAACCTGGGAACATTCTTCTCCACCTGGGCTCTCTAAGACGTCATCAGGTAGACACCCCCATCCCCAGGTACTGATGTAGTTTGGTGGGGGGGAGGAGAGCGATCCCCTCCCCTCCTTTCCCTCCTAAGCCACACAGCAGGAAAGGGGAGAAAAGTAAAGCTGGAAGCATGTGCCCCAGTCGCCTCTAGCCCATACCACAACCTTCCTCACCCTATTCGATGGTCCTCATGGGCTTGCATTCTTGTCAACTAAGTGAATGTCAAAAATAAAACAAAAGTGAAAAAGAAAAACATCTGCAAGCCAGTACCCTGTGAGGCACCTCCTCAAGTCCATCAAGACTGCCACCTCGCCCAGCACGGGCCCTGGGCACCTACGACTGGGATGTACAGGCCACAGCACCTGGATGGCAGCACACAGACCCACGGCCCAGGGGCTCCTCCGCTCCTCCCCACTGTACTGCTGTGGCTCAGCCCACATGGTCCAACTCCTCCGCTGCAAACTCACTGCCATCTGACCCATGTGCCCCAGTGACTGAGCACCCACTGTGTTCTGAGGCCCCACGGGGTTTCAGAAGCCAGCAGAGAGCTCTGAGCCATTCACACCTGTCACCCCAGTACTGTGCTTAGAGCTCTGCTGAATTCAGAAATAAAGACAGTCATAGCCAAAAGCAGACACCAAACAAACAAAACTCAAAGTCTAAAACAAGGGTGTAAAAGGGTAACTGCGATGAGCTGACACATAGGAAAGGGAGTCACCAATGATTACTCCAAGGCTGCAGTGTGACAGAAAGGCAGCAAGGTGAAGCTGTGGGAGTAACACCAGAAGAAGCACAGGTCAGGGCTCCAGGGCAGACGGGAGCCACATCACAGCGGGTGGACACTCAGCAGCTGATCCCTGAGGGGAAAGAAGGGACGGGGCAGAGCTCTGGGCCAGGGACGGAGCCAGAACACAGCTCAAGGAAAGAGGCACAGAGAAACCCCAGCGTTCAGAGTGAGGACACAGGCCCGACACCAGCACTAGGATATTCGGATGTCTCTGGAGACAGAGGGAGACCACAGGGTAGAAACAATCCAGCCTGCTTGGTTTAAAAAAAAACAAAAACAAAACAAAACAAAACAAAAAAAAAAACAAAAAAACAGCTGGGCCCAGAGCAGCAGCCTAGCGGCTAAATCTTCACTTTGCACATGTCGGATTCCCATATGGGCACCAGTTCGTGTCCCAGCTACTCTACTTCCCATCCAGCTCCCTGCTGTGGCCTGGGAAAGCAGCAGAGGATGACCCAGAGCTGTGGGAACCTGCACCCATGTGAGAGACCTAGAAGAAGCTCCTGGCTTAGGGATCAGCTCAGCTCCAGCCATTGTGGCCACATGGGGAGTGAACCAGCAGATGGAACATCTTTCTCTCTATATCTTCTTTGTAAAATCTGCCTTTGCAATAAAAATAAATCTTAAAAAAAAAAAATGATGAACAAAGACTGCCTGCTTACCACACCACGTGAGGAAGAGCCAGGGAAAAAACAAAGAAAGACAGCTGGGCTGCAGTGAGCCAGGCTGGGTCTGGTGGAGTGGGTGCCACCAGCTCCGCCAACACCCACAGGCTGTGTTCTCAGAGGGCCTGGGCTCGTCTGCTTTGCCTCTGCCTTCAACCAACCTAATGAGGCTGGGCGCTGGGCACCAGGCTGGCTCTGCCAGGAGACCCCGCCACACCCACAGGCTGTGTACCCAGAGGGCCTGGGCTTGTCTGCTTTGCCTCTGTCTCCACCTCCTGGTGCTCCTCTAACTGCAGGATTTCATCCACTCCGTTGACACACACGCTCACTAAGGGCCCACCACCGGGAGCTGGGAAGACACTGATGTCACAGGTTGGCAGGAGAGAACAAGATTATACAACAAGGGGAAGGCAGGCTAATTAATGTGCTCATTGTCCTGCTCTCACGAACACCAACACTAGGAAATCCGGGGTCACTAAGTGTCTCGGTACTTGGCTCACTGAGTCCAAAAGGTCTCGCTCTGAATTACACCGGCCTCTGACTGCGGGGATAGAAAGGCACTTCCTATGGGGAGGATAAACAGGGAGTTCCAGATGTCTGCCCTCTCAATGGCCAGGGCCAAGCGGGCACTGGGATTGTGGGACTGGCGGCTGGCCACCTTCCTGCGCCTTTTCTCTGCCAACCATTGGCACAGAGACCCTTTGGCCAGGACAACCTGTAACAAACCCATTGTTATGTAATCTTCAGTGTCACTTATTTATTGAGTTTTGTCACACACATCGTAAAGGGAAACTTTGTCCTGTACTTGGCATGCAAAAGGGCACCTGAAGGTCAAGCTGCTCCCCTTTTCAGATCAGACACAACAGGCTCCATGAGAAAGTGCCTAGAAATACCCAAGACATCAACTTCTAAATTCTGGGCCCTGGGCCCTCAAGTCTGTCGGGTGTACTAAGTACAACCAGGGGGTAAGCAATCAGGAGGGGGCCAGGCATTGCAGCACAGCAAGTCAAGCTGCCTGTTGTGAGGCCGGCATCCCATGTGGGCACTAGGTTCGTGCCCGGGCTGCTCCACTTCTCACCCAGCTCCCTGCTAATGGCCCAAATGTCTGGATCTCTAGCACCCATGTGAGAAGCCTGGATGAAGCTCCTGGCTCTGGCTGGCCCAGTTCTGGCTGCTACAGACATATGGGGAATAAACTAATGGATTGAAGATGTCTCTCTCTGTAATTCTGGCTTTCAAATAAATAGTCTTTTTAAAAGAAAGTCATGGGCCTGGGGGCATGGCCTAGTGGCTAAAGTCCTCGTCTTGAAGGAACCGGGATCCCATATGGATGCCAGTTCTAATCCCGGCAGCTCCACTTCCCATCCAGCTCCCTGCTTGTAGCCTGGGAAAGCAGTCGAGGACGGCCCGAGGCCTTGGGACCCTGCACCCGTGTGAGAGATCCAGAAGAACTCCTGGCTCCTGGCTTCGGATTGGCTTAGCTCCAGCCGTTGCGGCCGCTTGGGGAGTGAAACATCGGGTGGAAGATCTTCTGCTCTGTCTCTCCTCCTTTCTGTACATCTGCCTTTCCAATAAAATAAAATCTTTAAAATAAATAAATAAATAAAGTCAAAAGCCATTGTAGGGCCTGCATGGTGTTGCAGCAGGTGAAGCTGCCGCCTTCAACGTCAGCATCCACATTAAAGCAACCAGTTCAAGTCCCAGCTGCTCTGGTTCTGATCAAGCTTCTTGCCGATATTCCTCGGATAGAAACAGCACACGGCCCAAGTGCTTGGGTCCCTGTACCCACATTGGTGACCAAGTTGGGAGTTCTAGGTAGCTGACTCTGGACTAGCCCAGTCCAGGACACTGAGATTATTCGGGAAATAAACCAGCATAGAAAGCAGTCGAGGACGGCCCAAAGCCTTGGGTCTCTGAACCCATGTGGGAGACCCAGAAGAGGCTCCTGTATCCTGCCTTTAGATCAGCGCAGCTCCGGCCACTGCAGCCACTTTAAGGGGGGGAGCGGGGGGCGGGGAGTGAATCAGTGGACAAAAGATCTGTCTCTCCTTCTCTTTGTAGATCTGACTTTCCAATAAAAATAAATTAAAAAAAAAAAAGATTTCTTTTTAATGGAATGGCAGATCAGATTTATGGAGAGGAGAGGAAGACACAGATCTTCCATCCGCTGGTTCACTCTACAAATGGCCATAATGGCTGACAAAGCTACAAGCCAGGAGTTTCTTCCAGGTCTCCCACATGGGTGCAGGGTTCCAAGGCTTTGGGCTGTCCTTGACTGCTTTCCCAGGCCATAAACAGGGAGTTGGATGAGAAATGGGGCTGCCAGCATGAACTGGTGCCTATATGGGATTCCAGCAAGGTGAGGATTTAACCACTGAACCATCATACCAGGCCCTGTTTCTATTTAAGATTTTTTTTTGAAAGGCAGTGACAGAGAGAGAAGAGGGAAAGATGGAGAGATCTACCATCTGCTGGTTCATGTCCCCAAAATGGCGGAAACAGCTGGGACTGGGTCAGGCTGAAATCAGGAGCTCCGTCTGGGTCTCCCACGAGGGTACAAGGGCCCAAGCATATGTGCCGTCCTCTGCTGCTTTCCCAGGCACGTTATCACAAAGCTGGAGCAGAAGCAGAGCATTCAGGAGCACCCGTGTGGGATGCCAGTGCTGCAGGTGGTGACTTAATCTGTTATACCACAGTATCCGTCCCCTTTCTCTGTCTTTCAAATAAATAAATAAATTTCTTTGTAAGCCCAGATCTCATTTGAGTGGCTGGGACTGCCTGCTGCCCACCCTCCGTCCCCCAGCATGCACATCAGAGAAGGCAGGCCTGAGACCCAGAGCTGAGATTCAGAGCTAAGCATGGCACATGTGACACAGGCATCCCAAGTGGCAGCTTACCGCCAGCTTGAGGTGTCACAGCCACGCTCCCCCTCCATGCTGAGAACAAGAGTCAGGCCAGGAAGTTACTCCAGAGTCCTCTGCAGAAGCCCAAATGCAGTGCAGTTCAGACCTCACCCCTGCCTGAAATGTTGGATTTAAACCCCACTCTTGCGGCATGTCAGCAGACTCTGGGTACGCTCGGCCTGCTCCTGAGGAGGGAGGTGACACGGGAGCAAGGGCCAGAAGTTCGCAGGTGTATCCAACAGCAGATTCCCTTCCCCATAACACCTTTTCTGAGACCTGTGCTGCACGCTGTCAAGCTGTGGCAGCACCCCGCTTACAAGAGCAGCCCCGGCCTGGCTGAGCAAGCGCTCACCGCCCTGCAGCAGCCGACCCTACTCACAGGAGTTGTGCCGGCGCCGGAAGCTCTTGGACTGACTCAGGGACTCCGTGTGCCTGTCCACGTAGCTCTTGGAGCACTGCTGCTGTTGTGGGGATACGGCAACGTCCTGGCTCCGCACGTCTGTCCGCTTGGGGATGTTCTGAGGGGCACTGCTGGAAGAGGTCGGCTTCCTGACCAACTTGCCCGTGCCATTCTGATTGATGCCCACTGAGTACCCCATGCCAGAGGGGCCTGACTCCGTCTGGTGAAGATCGCCAGAATGCTGGTTGTCTCCCGGACTTGGTATCTCCAGAATTTTCAACTCTGTAATGTCACCTGCCCTGAAAGAAACAAGAGAATCCCCATCTGGGAACCGTGTGACAGTGATCAGAAGGCCAAGGAGGAGCCCTCGCCCGGCCCGCCAGCACTGCCCTCCAGTGAGGCTTGAGGCAGACATTGGGACAGAAGGCAGGGCCCAGCTGCAGCCCTCCACCGGCACAGCATGCCTACTCCAGAGACACGCTGGTTGCCTTCCGCTTCCAGATTGCTAACACACACTCCCTCACCCACCAGCATGCACCCACAAAGTATCGCTGATGGCAGGAGCGTCATGCTGCAAACAGCCACTTCTTGGGGTGCTCACAGCCCAACCAGGGAACAGACCCAACACCCCAACAAGAGCAGACCGGGCTGTGAAGGAGCAGGGGCTGCAGAACAAGGATAAAACACCCAAGTCAGCTTGGCAAAGGAAGTGTGGGCCCGAGTAGGGGAGATGAGATGCCAAGCGGAGGACGGATGGATGAAGGCCCAGAGACTTAGAACACACGGTTAACGAGGCTATGGGCAGCACTGCAACACCGCTGTGTCACCACAGGGGACGCTGCCTGGAGATGGCCTTTGGGAATGAAGATGCAGAGAAAACCAGCAATCACCCAGGACCTCGTCGGCCCTCCTGCCCGTGGCTGCAGGTCAGACATAGAAACTAGAGGCAGGGCCCCAGTGACAAGACCAAGCAAGAAAAAGGAGATGAAACAGCGGAGTGACACGGCGAAAGGGGCATGGGCAAAGTGACATTTACATACCATTCAGCAACTGACCCCATGTGAGGAGTAAAGAGGAGGAGTTATTAAGACTCCTAAATTTCTTTTTTTTTTTTAAAGATTTATTTTTATTATTTTTTTTCATTGGAAAGGCGGATATACAGAGAGGAGAGAGAGGAAGATCTTTCATCCGATGATTCACTCCCCAAGTGAGCGCAACGGGCCGATACTATGCCGATCCGAAGCCAGGAGCCTCTTCCAGGAACCTCTTCTGGGTCTCCCGCGCGGGTGCAGGGTCCCAAAGCTTTGGGCCGTCCTCGACTGCCTTCCCGGGCCACAAGCGGGGAGCTGGAAGGGAAGCGGGGCTGCTGGGATTAGAACCAGCGCCCATATGGGATCCCGGGCGTGCAAGGTGAGGACCTTAACCACTTGCGCCACCGCTCCGGGCCCAAGACTCCTAAATTTCTAACGTGGGTGAAAGGTAGACTTCTGGGAGGAGAAGTCGACGGGCAAGGCACAGTGCCTTCAGCTCAGGTTGCCTTGTGTGATGATCTGCAACTGGAAACAAGCAGCAGCAGCCAGGCATCCAGAGCTCAGGCAGGGGACGACATCCTTAGCAGATGCGTACGCATCCATGAGACTGGAGAGTACAGACAACAAAGGGCCACAGGTGGAACACTGAGTAAGTTCATCTTAAGAGGTAGTTCTGAGCCAGCATGATGATCGAGCAGGGAAAGCTGCCACCTGTTCATGTCTTGCTGTTCCTCTTCTGATCCAGCTCCCTTCTAGGCAGCCTGGAAAAAGGCAGAAAGCGGCTCAAGTGCTTGAGCCCATAAACCCACGTGGACGATGCAGAAGAAGCTCCTGGTTTAAGCCTGGTCCCAAACCAATGAACAGATCTCACCCTTTCAAATAAGTAAATCTTAAAAAAAAAAAAAAAAGTGGCTAGAATGCAGGAACACAAAGAATACTGGGCAAGAAAGCCCACAGTGATGACAGAAACTATACACCGGGGGCAGGTATGGAGCACGGCACTCGGACACTGCCATATCAGCGTCTGGGTTTGAGCCCCATCTCCATTCTCCATCTAGCATTCCAGCTCACGTGCACCTTGGCAGGCAGCAGGTGATGGCTCAAGTCCTGCGGGCCTGGCCACTCTTGGGAGAGACCCAGACCAAGCTCCTGGCTCTCGGCTGCTGCCTGGCACGGTCCCAGCTATCGTGAGAGCATTTGGGGTAATGGACCAACAGATGGCAGATCTGTCTGCATTCCAAGTAAGTAAAAGAAATAAAACTATCTTTCCTTTTAAAAAGAAGAGAGCACTCCAACAAGACTGGAATGCTGAGTGAAGCTGGCAGGCAGATCACCTGTAACTCCAAGAAAAGCCAGTTCCCTAAGAGGATCAAGTCAAGTCGCAGACCACGCAGGGAGGGTGAAGGCAGAGGAGAATGAAGGCTGCCTGCTCTGCTAAGCACTGTGGTGTGAAGGGAGGGGCAAGACAAGGCAAGGCTGGCAGCCAAAACCAGCTCAGCAGAAGGAGGGTATTTAGCATGGAGTGAGACCGCAGGAGCAGAGACAGCCATGGAGGCCGTGCATGCAAACACCAAGGGATGGACTGAGGTGGTGAAGCCAGCCCTGTACAGGATGATGTGGGTGCACCCGTGGGAGAGGCCCTGTGGACAGGTGGGGAGCAGGGAGTGCTCAGCTGATCAAGGAGGCACTCCCATCTCAGCCTCCCCTCCACTTTCTGGAGCATCAGAATGAACACCATCGGGTTGTGAAGACACAAGTGGACGTGAGGCCCACCGGCACACACTGAGGCCTTCACCTGGGGCTCCCGTGTGCTCTGGGGATGTTAGGATACAAATCTACAAAGACAGATACAGGCACATGGGAAGAAAGCCAATAAAGACCCCACACAGGAGCCGCTGCCATGCTGTTATCACCGAGTGGAGCCCAGTGGGAAGCAGTCGGTAGGGGAGCACCACACACCATCACCCCATCCTTACAGCCTCGTGCCCACCTGCCTGCAAAGCATCATGGCAACTGGGAGCACCAGCGAGGAAGAGCACAGCCTCCGCAAGTGTGAGCTCTATGTGCAGAAGCACAACCACCAGGCCCTGCTCAAGGACTCCATCGTGCAGCTGTGCACGGCCCAGCCCGAGAGGTCCTTGCCCTTCCTCAGGGAGTACTTGGAGAGGCTGGAGGCAGCGGCCAAGCCGATTCAGAATCTGCAAAAAGCCAAAACCTGCACAGACTCCAGAGAGGATGAAATCTCTCTTCTTCCACCCAACCCAGTGGTGAAGGGGCAGCAACGATGGACCAGCAGTGCCCAAGTATACACGGACGAGGACATGGCATCATATGCCACAAAGGTTATGCCAATGTAAGACGATGGCTGCTTTAGCCAAAGCCATTGAAAAGAATGTGCTCTTCTTGCACCTTGACTATAATGAGAGAAGTGGTATTTTTGACACCATGTCTCCAGGCTCCTTTACTGCTGGACAGATCGTCATCCAGCAAGGTGATGAAGAGGATCACTTCCACATGATTGATCAAGGAGAGATGGATGTCTGTGCCAACCACGGATGGATGACCAGTGTTGGGGAAGAAGGGAGCTTTGAAGAACTTGCTTTGATTTATAGGACATCCAGAGCAGCCACCATCAAAGCGAAGACCAACGTCAAGTTGTAGGGTGTCGATCAAGACAGCTGGAGGAGAATCCTGATGGGGAGTACACTAAGAGGAAGACGTATGGAGAGTTCCTTAGCAAAGTGTCCATTTTAGAATCCCTGGACAAGTGAGTGGCAAGGCCTCACTGTAGCTGACGCCCTGGAACCTGTCCAATTGGAAGATGGGGAGAACCAGGGGATGAAGTCTTCATTATTTTAGAAGGGTCAGCTGCCATGCTACAGCGTCAGTCAGAAAATGAAGAATTTGTTCAAGTGGGAAGATCGGGGCCTTCTGACTACTTTGGTGAAATAGCACTTCTCATGAATCGTCCTTGAGCTGCCACCGTGGTTGCCCGTGGGCCCTTTAAGTGCATGAAGTTGAACCGACCAAGTTTTGAACATGTTCTCAGCCCATGCTTAGATAGCCTCAAGCGAAACTTACAGCAGTACAACAGTTTTGTGTCGCTGTCTGTCTAACATTTGCCTCCTGTCCCTCCCCAAGCCAAGCTTCCCTCTTGCAGACTGCTTTCTCCCTGTTGGCAGCACCAAGTGGCCACTGGCATTATAGCTTCTTGTCTCTTTATATTAAAGTTGCTGTTACCACACCACCTTTACTTTGGGGCATTACCTAAATGTTCAGACACCAATGAACAGACTTCTCGGAGATTTTGTTGTTTCCTGCTTCTCTCTGTTCAATGTTAGTAGTATTCAACCTGGGCTGTGAGTGCCGTGCTTTTTTTGGTGAGGGCAGATCCTAGCACCAATTGAATTACCTTAATGATGTCACAGTGCAAGATTTTTTGTTAAGTGACATAATTTTCCAGTTGTAAGCATACTCAGACTGTGGCCACGTATACCGTATTTCTTTACAGAATAAATGATTTCTCATGTAATGCTAAGGATTACAAAAAATGGCTACAGAAAAATCTTAGTAGAAAGATACACGACTAAAATTAAAGTAGCTTACAGGTGGAAAAATGCCCATCTTGCTAATTATTAGATGGGTGTGATCAGTTATATTTCCCACTTTTAACCAGGTTTTGTGTTTGCCAAGCTTGTTTGCCTGGTTTTGTTTGTACCTTGTTAATTAATCTTTCCTCTCCAGTTCTGAAAGCTTTTTCAGTGTGGCTGTGTATACCTGCCTTTTAAAATGAAAACCAAATCATCGACAGCTGATACAAAGTTATCATTTAACTACAGCTGCCTCACTCAGAAATTCTGACCAGGCATTGATTTATCTAGCTAAATACTGATCATCAGATGCTGAGTTGGGAATAAGAATTTGAGGTCTACACTCTGGGTGTTAGCTTAGATCTTCTAGTTAAATTATGACCTTCAGTTCACTCCCTCGTGTGTTAAATTCTGATTCCAGGAGATGGAATTTGTTCAAAGTAGAAACAGATGAACAAATGTCATAACAAAGATGAAGGTGATGTTGCTAAAAGGAGAAGCCAAGTGACAAAACTCAGTATCATGAACTTTCTGCCATTCAGTTTTCTGAGCCATAAAATTTGGAAAGACATTTTTTACTTGTTCTAACCTCTTCTGTGTCAGAATTTCTGGTGCATTGGAGGCATGGTAGAAGTGTGTCGGTGCCATTTCATATGGTCTCAAAGGCTATCCTGGATC